CCTTTTATGAAATCGGCAACGACTGTTTTTGGATTAAAATTAAGATTGAATGTTGTACATTTACTAATTAAAACTCGAAATAAATATTCGTATGTACTTGATAGTTTATTTGGCAGTAAAGTAAATATAAGTGGAATATAGTGTCCGTTTTTCAAACCATGTATCGTAAAAAGTTGGTAAAAATATTTAGAACAAACTTCAAATGTTCCATCGACAATTATTTTGTCACAACTACATAAAAATTGTAAATTTGATTTTGTAGAAAAACATATTATACCTATTCAAAATATTGTCGTTTATAAGCAATAAATTCTCACCCTAATATGTATTCGTATCCAAATTATTTAATTATTATGCACTTCGGTAACATTTTTTGGTAAAAGTGGTAGCGTTTTTCTACGAGTACGATAAACGCTTCGTCATATAGAATGCACATCGTATAATGTCAAATCTAACGCACTTGATTGCACTTCATTCCGAATTAATTTTAGTGGTCGTGTTGTAACTTGGTCTGTTGCTTTTCTTTTTAATGAATTAGCAACAATTTGTCTATTAATATTTGAACTTGCTTCTTGGTTATGATCAAAATTAGATTTTAAAAGCACCGTTTCACTTACATCACATACAAAATTCGAAGTACACGATTTAATTTTACATCTCCAATTTATTCCTTTTTGAGATGGTACATTTTCGAAACTTAAACTCATCAAGAACTAATAACGGTTTACCTTTTTCACTAAAAGCTTTTGTAAAACGATTCATATTGTAACGTCAAACAACCAAACTAATACTAAATGACTAACAAGACATAAGTATTGGATACCTATCAATATGATTTATATTTATACTGAGTATCATCAATGTGTTCTTCTATCTACAGTTATATATTGTGTGCAACGAAACAATTAGGCTGATAAAATATATCCGATAATAATGAAAACTTGTTTTCGTCCATCACTCAAATGCATACTTCCGTGATCAAAATATGTGCGTAATAATAATAACGTTTCATAAAATTCCCTATATTAATATATACATATAATAATACACTGTTATAAAATATATTAAAACATAAGACATAAAGTAATACGATTTTGAGTTTATGGTAATCATAATATTTGTATTTTGCATGTTTTAACAATAATAATAATTTTTTAAATATTAATTTTAGCATGGCAATTAGAATAATATAATTTGAATACAAGCGCAATTGGTATATTGACCCTAGTATAAACATTTTGTTTTAGGCGCAATTGGTCCATGCCCAGTATAATACACATACACATAATATAATAATATTCACATACCTAATATATTAATTTAAATAAATTACCTACAGTAGAATCCCTCTAATCTTTACCCTTCGCGACTGGGGGTATAGTCGGAACGTGAAAAAGGTCGGATTGTCAGAATATAAAGAAACATTTGAAGACAAAATGTTACCAAATTTATTTATTAAATTATTTTAAATATTATTTTTAATTACATACATATATTAAATTAAATAAATAGTTAAATAAAAATATATATTTTTATTTATTTTATTTTAATATATAAATTTATATTTTTATTAAATAAAAATTTATAAATAAATAGTAAAATAAATAAAATATAGGTAAATAGTAAACGGGCAATTAATTTTATAAATATATCTATTCACATGCTATAAATTGGAAAATACATATTGAATATATCATATTCATATCGATAATACTATGGTCAGATCAACCGGAGTGGTGGACTAGCCGAGGGTGGACGAGAGGGGTTCTACTGTATTTACATATAATATAATTTAATATTACAATTAAATATTATATATAATATTAATATATATATATTAATATTATATTTTAATATTAAATATTTCAATATTGACTATCTGCCATATTTTAAATGGAAAAAATATTTAAAAAATCGAATCCATGCATGTAGACAGTGGCTCACAGTAGATATTTGACAAGGGCGTCGAAAATATATATTCAAGGTTAGGTTACCCACCCACCAACCCCAGTAAAATCTGAGTTTAGGCATAATATAACTCTTATTTTTAAGTGTTTTTGGTTTTTTCTTACAAACAAAGATACTAATAACAACATTTTTTTAAATAAACCTAATATTAGTTATTTTTCAGTTTTATGGGTATTAATTTATAAGATTGTATAGCATAATTTTTGGGAATGGGCCCTACTACTAATTCTCATGTGACGCTTTAGTTCTAGGGTAAACATAATTAGTATGTTGATTTGGATAGCTAAAAAATTGGTTAGTATTAAATTAAACAAATATTCATACAAGTTCACACAGAACTGGACATTCACCAATTATCTGAGGGGTGTCAGTCGACACCCCTGACCCTCCCTATGTGCGCCACTGCATGTAGAGTTGATAATCCCAATTGATAATTGGTTATTTGTTTGGGTATTTTCTTTACAGTATCGATATCATTGAAATTTGTTGGTTTACACCCACAAATGTAACACGTTTGGCTAGACGTGTTGGTCATAGAGTTGTATATCTAGAGTAATATTAAATTAATAAATATATTTTGTATAATTTTAAATTAAATATTAATATAATACTTTGCATGTATTGTACGTACCTTGCAGTGGCGTAATTGAGAATGTTTCATTGTGGGTGGGGGGGGGATCAAAATAAATTTGTATGGCAAACTTGTGGGAGCAATGCTTATGAAATTCAGTATCACAATTTAGTCTTATATTTTTAATACAATGATAATATCTTCAGTAAGGCTTACTGCTTCTCTTAAATCAATTTTTTCTTTTTGTAGCAACTTACACAATGGTAATCAAAAAGAAAAAACCAATTGGAAAAATATTTTATTATAAAATAAAATTAATTATATTTATTAATTACTATTTACTAGTATGACTTGTAAGAATACAAGAAATTCTGAATCAATAGTTTTTAATAGTATATTAGCTTACGTTGCAGTGGAATCATTCCAATTAGGAATATTTTCTGTTCCTATGATTCAATTACGAATGCAATTAGTTCAATGAAATCTTTACCACATCATAATGCTGCACCCATCGTGTAGCATACAATCTTTTTAAAGTTTTAACCTGAGGATCCTCATTACTATTTTTAATGTTGGTTAAAAGAACATTTTGACAATTTGGTGTATTAAAGAAAACATAGTCGTTTATGGATAAATATTTATAACCTAGTTTCTTTTTTAGTTTCGTAATAATTTATAAGTTTGTATTTGAGCTATTTGTAGGTTTAAGACAATATATTAATACAGCTCATGGGGGGATCTATCCCCAATACCTTCCCGTAATTACACCCCTGGTACCTTGCATATAGGAATTAATATTCCATTTAAGTATAAGTGTTAATACTAATTTTTCTAATACTTAAAAACAGCTGATTTACTTAAATTGATTTTGTTTAAATAGAAAACAAAAAACATAGCAGAAGCTTCTCGGCGACTTCAAGCTCAACTTAGTATGAATCATCCAACGATCTGGCAGTTTATTACTGAACTAAAAAAAAAAAACAGGCAGAAAGAGATACCTATATATTACTAGTTTCTTGTGAGTGGTTATGAACCTCCTCCACAAAAAAAAAAAAAAATTCATTGAATTATCAAATCACATTTTAAATATAGTTCAAAATTATGGGAATTGTAATACTATGGAGCTCCTGCACCACAATTCCGGTACCAAGACTACAGTTATCCACGGCATATGATCGCTGTTCGGCTAATTTGGAATTACCAATGCACGAGACATTGGTGTTATTCTCTGAGTTGTTCCCAATGACCCAACTGTCTTCATGATTTAAGTCATTTTTATCATTCCCTTCTGTCATCTTCGTCGTCTGATTAGGTTGGAATATAAATATTTAATATCATGAACATTTAACAGCAGGTAAAAAGCATGCCGACGCATTGGCGCCGATCATATTTAATAGTAATGCAAATAATATTTGGGACGACCGATATAATTATCCACATATTATTTACCGACGTACTTATTAGAGGTCTGCACGGGCCAAAAATGTTAGGCACGACCCAGTCCGGATTTTCCGCTGACGAATAAGGATGTACGTGAAGTTAGCCCCTCTATTTCGAACTGACGAAGGCACGTCAAGATTTATGCGATCGGTGCGTATGAATTTAAATGTAAGTCGAAAAAAGTCGCGTATGAACGTTCGGCTATGGAACGGGCCTAAAGCCTTAAAGATATTTTTTTTAAAAACGGGCTCAGCCCTAATGAATGTTTTATCACTGAAATTGAATTGTTGTACAAGTTCTTAACATTCTGAAAAAAGGCGGCCCGGACCGTATTAGATTTAAAGATTTTAAATTTTTTAACGGACCAGGTTTCGTGTCTCGTTTTATATTTATTAAATACAATTTCATTCTAATGTAAATAATTTATTTTTATTACAATAATTACCAATACAATTATAATTTAGAACAGACCCATGCAAGTTAGCAGGCATCTACGAATTTTTATGAAAAATATTGGCTGATCCCACCATGACAGAAATGAGGTTTTTGAGGTGGGACGTACGACATCCCACCATGCCGGAAACATATTAGACTTAAAAATGTATAAAAAAGATTCTTCAGAAGTTTTTGTTTGTAGTTAATAAAAAAAATAAATAAAAGTATAACTACTGGAAAACTGCAATTAATTTCTATTGTCATTAAAATATTAAGTTTTAAAGAATTTGGTTGTGTTGTCCAAGTATTTAAACAAATTTTTAATAGTATTTGTTAAATTGTGGTCTAAATATTTTTACTATGCCGACTTGAATATCGACATCAACTGTCTACTTATTTTAGTGTTTTATAGGTGTGTATAATCATTTTTATTATTAAATGCATGAAAAGCAGAATTCAGTAGCTATTCTAGTAAATTTTTGTATAAGTTTATTTTATCGACTTGATTCAAAAATCATTGGATATATATATATATACTTTATGTAACTGATATTATTTTTTATGGAATGACTTATAAAAAAAATAGTTAGTCACTATAACAAAAACAATTTTATTTAATCAAATTACGCTATTAAAATGGATAGAAACCAGTAATATTTTTTATTGCTTCTCCTTCATCTTTAACAGACACCTCTTGATAAGAATGAAATTCCATTGAAAATGAAGCGGTACCCGAAGTAAATGTTCTAAGATCTTTTGAATAGCCCAATAAATCAGCTAAAGGCACTAGTGCATTTATAACCTAAAAAAAAAATATAAGAAATCATAAATAATAGAAAATGAGAATATGAATTAATAAATTATTTATTTATTACCCTATTATTTGATCTAATTGTAATATCTTTTATACATCCTCTCCTTCTTCCAAAATCAGAAAGTACCATGGAAGAATTATTATTATCTGTTACAACTTCAACGCTCATGATAGGTTCAAGTAAATTTGTTTTTCCAGATTTTAGTAACTTTTTTAAATAGTTAACACAATAGTTAAAATATAAAAATATTGAGTTAAAGTTAAAAATAAAGCATACTTTTAGAACACATTGATTCACAGCTGAACTCAAAACGGTATCTGACGTTCCTTTTCCAATTTCTAACCAATGAAGTATAAATCGAACATTGATTACCTTGAATCAAAAAATAAATAAATAAATGACCTTTTTTCAAATATAAAAATTAATTTTTATTTAAACGAATTATTTTAAATCATAAGTATAATCATAAGTATAGAATATATTTTTGTAGAAAGAACTCTGGTTAAAATCATAACAAAATGTCTATATGGAAATGTAGTATGTACAATAATAAGTTACTTGATCAAAATTTTTTCTATGTGCATCATCTATTAATTTTACATGAACATTTCCATAATAATAGATTAAAAAAATGCAAAAATCAAAAATTTAAGCCAGAGTGGTCAGAAAAATAAGAATACTAAAAGATGTAATAACAATATCAACATTTAAAAAATAGCTTCAGAAAAAAAATCAGTTATATAAATAACATAATTAAAGAAAATACCAATAAGTAATGTTATTGTTTCTTATTTTAACTACACCTGTATACATACAATTCAGATGCTAGCAATTGGATAGAATATTAATTTTATTACTCCAAACATATGAATTTAATTATGTGAATCTTAAAATTTTAAATAAAATTAAAAATTACTTGTTCTTATAATTTTTACAAAATTTTACTTTGATCATGTTTTAGCTGAAATTAGTATATTAAAAGTATTATTCTTAGCTAGTCACTATTTCTAATCAAAAAATGTTTCTAATATTTTTCACTGATTAACTTCTACAAAAACATGTTATATTTTAATATTTTAATACTAACAGGGCATCCAAATTTGGGGCCGTGCGCTAAAGCAGCTTTAGCACTTGATGTTATTATATTTAATTTATTTAAATGTATAGATGCAGTATTGGATGCATTATCAGGACTGGTATCCAAAGACAGTAGTTTTTTATTTGACTTATCTTTAAATATTGACATCACTACATAAACACTATGTGTAGTTGACCCTAAAAAAAAAAAAAACATTAGAAATATTAACAGTCATAAATAAACTTCATATATGTATTAAAATTTACTAATGATTATTTTAAATGTAAAATTAAAACCAACATCTCCATGTTTTCTATAACATTTTAGTATAATATTCTTCAAATTTTATTATTTTATCATTTTAAAATGTAATTGATTCATCGCAATGAAATAGAAAAATTTCTAATAATTTTAAATGTCTGATATCTTGATTAAAACCAAACTGAAATGGCAGTTATGGTATATTTTCAACATATAAATTAAGATCCACTAATAATTTTTATAACTATACAATTTAAAAATGTCTATTGACGAAAAAATTAATTATGTACCAAAAAATATAAGAAAAAATGAAATATCTTATTTTATACATTAGAGGTTGCAAATATTGCTATAATTATTTTGATAAAAGATGATTCTTGAACAGAAATATATGATGGTTTTAACAAACTTATTTAATTTTAACACATCTGATTCAATGAATCAATAATTTACTCTTTTGCTTTCTTAAATATAATTTCTAAGGTTAACAACATTGAGTAGTCTTTGTTACTACTAATATTCATTTGGCTACAGTGATTTAAATTGCATTTAAATTTAGAACTAAGTGTTAAAATGTAAAATGACTAGAAAGATTATATAACATAATATTATATATGAATTACTTTTCAATAAATGTAACCAATATCAAAAGAAAGTTAGTTCATAGATGGATAAATAAAACAATTTATTTTAAATAGGATTTCATTTAGTACCTAAGCATAATAATTTACTTAATACTATGTTCAAACAATATCTAGTTAATGTTTATTTATAAAAGTATCAACTTAAAATAGCAAACATTTTTTACTAATCCTAGTATTATATTATGTCAATAATATATGTTAATTAATAAAAGTATAAGAATATACCAATTTTTAAATCGAGTCTATGACTTTCTTTTGCTTCAGACAATAATCCTTCTTTATAGGAAATTTGCGGACGACTTAGATCAACATCAATTTTAAATTCAGTCTTAATTCGTTCACCGATAACTTCTAAGTGTAATTCACCCATACCTAAGCTGAAAATAGATTATATCTATTCAAACAATTTTAATATAAAATTATTTTTTAAATTTTACCAGCTAAAATTGTTTGACCGGTTTCTTCATCATACTGAACTCTTAAACTTGGATCTTCTCTATGTAACTGACTTAATGCATTATCCAAAGCTAATTGATAAGACTAATGAAAAAAAAGTTTTTATATTAATTAATTATAAGAATATATGTATATGAAAAATACCTAAGAATAAAATAAGTTCATTATTTTAAATTATATAATTTTAAAGATAAAGTAGATATATAAAACTATTCATGCTTAAATAAATGAGTAGGATAAATAAATTACCTGAGAAGGTGGTTCAATAGAACAAAAAAATACAGGATCTGGAATAAGCAACTCAACTCCAAGTACTTCAATTGATTCTTCTTGTGTCATTCCTTTTGATTTTGACAATTTAGATAATGCATTTTTAACAGCATTATTACTACTAGAAAGTAAATCTCCACAAACAGTACTCTAAAATACAGAATATAACATAAATTGATTAAATTACAATAATTTAGCTAAGCTGATTTCATAGACCATAACATTATTTATATTAAAATATTTTTATCTATTATTGCAGTTTATGAAAAGGATAAATAATATGTACATTTCATTGACTTAAACAATTAATTAGCGAAAATATTAGTTTAACTATGAAATTTAAATATCATTAAACATACTTTTAATCCAGTAACAGCTACGATATTTCCCAATGGTACATCGCCAACTTCTTTATAATCATCTGCATAAACCATCATAACACGATTAATATTTTCAGACTTACACTGAGAGGCATTGTATACTTTTTGACCCTGAAAATAATGATTAACATTAATTCATTCAATATATAAATAATAACCAAAATAACTAATATATAAGAATAACCAAAGATATGAATTGCTACAATTTATACGTCAAGGAAAAATAGAAGGAAAGGAGTGTTAGTAAACGAAGAAAATCTTGGTTGAAAAAATCTCCAGAACTGGTTAAGTACAACAACAATTGAACTATTTCATCCATTGTTAGAAAAAGAAGCAATATTTAATATGCTTCCAACATCCAAAACGGATAGGAACTTCAAGAATTAATTCAAATAATTTAGCAATGAATAAATACTTTAAATTATTACAAATTATATTTTAAATTAAATTAAATTAAAAGAATAAAAATTCTTGGCATTGTTAAAAATCAATATTTTTAATGTTATTAATAACTACCTATCTTTATATACCAAGTTTTAGATATATATATAAATTTATTCACAAGAATCATACAAATCAAGAGATAGTTCAACTGTTGGCTTACTATTTTAATTTTATAAATTTCATAAAATAAATTAAAATAAAAAAATAATTATAGGTTAAAATATTTTCCACAGTAAAAATGAAGTTATTTAAAATAAATTAATAAATAGCTCCATTATTATTTATCTGGCTTTTATAATTATGAAGTTTTCATGAAGAATTATGAAAATATATTATTTTACCTTTTGTAAGGTACCTGAATACACTCTTAAAAATGTAATAGGTCCTTTTTGTTTTTCATGAACAACTTTAAAAGCTCTAGCAGACATAGATGTACCGAAAAATTTAAATGGATCTAAAGTTGATCGATCGTTTGGGGATGGAAGATAATTTATAACACCATCCATAATAGATTGCACACCAATATTCTTGTACGAACTACCACAGAATAATGGAACACCTTTCTAAAACAATAAATTCAATAAAATACAAATATTCAAAAGACCAGAGTAAAAACATTGAATAAAACATACATGAGTAATACAAACACGTCTAATAGCTGATAATAAAATATCACTATCAAAATTATCAATACCATCAGAATTTAATACAATATCGGCAATCGATTCATCCATATCAGCTAAATCTCCAATAAGTGACTCTCTAACTTTACACAAAGACTCCCATTGCTTGGTATTTTCTTCTATAGGAGTGTATGATACTTTTTGACCATATTCTCCATGCCAAGTTAATATATTCTTTTTTATTACATCTATTAAGCCTATCAGTCGGCCACTGCTTTCTAAAAAAAAAAAAAAGTCAATTATATTTACAAGCAATATGAATAATTAATAATTATTAAAATTAAATATTATTTAAATTTAAATTTTGATATAATAATTACAGAAGATTAACAGAAGTTTTTAAAAATAAATATATACTTTAAAACAACTCAATTTATTTTAATAGGCAATTATTTATAATTATTTATCAAGATTTATTAAATTATGATTCAAATACTACAAATAAATAATCACAGCTGAAAATTATTTTTTGTTTTAAATAAATGTATACTTTCATAGGGACATGTTTCATTAAAATATTAAAGTTTACCCGATGAGTTTTTTCTAATTGAAAGGTATATTTTTTAAAAATAAATATATAATTATAATTAAAAATTTGTCTAAAAATTTAAAAATTTAAATATTATTTAGTTTTAAATAATTTTAATTTTTTATAATTTTCTTATAAATTATTTTTACATTATTGAAGATTTTTAAATTTCTTTAAATTTGTGAGTTGTTACATTGTAATAATGTAATTTATAAAATCTAAGACAAAATGTTTACCTCTTACTGGTATTTGTAATTGTAATGGCGTAATATTAAATTTTGACTTGAGTAAATTTACACATAGTGGCAATGAAGCATCAGATCGGTCCATTTTGTTAGCATAAACAATACGAGGTATTTGATATCTATCAGCTTGACGCCATACAGTTAACGTCTGAGCTTCAACTCCTTATACATTACAAAAATATGTTATATTTAATTTATTTGTCAACTAAAGTTTAATTATTACTACCAGCTGAAGAATCTAACACTATAACTGCACCATCAAGAACATTTAGAGTCTGTTCCACTTGCATTGTAAAATCTATGTGTCCTGGAGTATCAATCAAATTAATATTATGTTTTTTCCAAGGTATGGTTACAGCAGCAGATGTTATAGTAATACCTGTATATATCATGTTAGTTAAGTATTTGTATATTATATTTATTTATAAAATATGATTGCACCTCTATTTCTTTCTTGCTCCATATAATCAGTAACTGTATTGCCATCATGCACTTCACCCATACTATGTATTAAACCGGAGTAAAATAACATTCTTTCAGTAGTTGTTGTTTTACCTAAAACAGATTACAATTGTTCATAACTGTTTCTTCAATACAATAAATGTACACTTTGTAATGAATAAAAATTAACAGTTGAACATTAAATATATAAACGATAATCATGCTACATAATGCTACATCGATATAAATTAATATTATTTACATAATTGGCAATTTGACTAAAGGTTAAACCATTAATATATTGATTAAATATGTCAACATACATTTAATAATATAAATCAATAGACATGTCTAATATTAAACAAAAGAAAAATTAGAATATTCACCTGCGTCTATATGTGCTAAAATACCAATATTTCTTATTTTGGACATTTTATTTTTATTGTGGCAATAATAACGTTTCCAAATACACGAAATCCATGTATTATGTTGCACTTTTCGGGGATAAAAAAACATTCTAAAACGCACGGTAAAAATAAAAAGTCAATATTTTAATGGTAAAATTACTCTAAAAATTTATAAATAAAGAAATTTATTTTAGTTAAATGTTGTAGTAAGTGAACGGTTTTTTTTTTTTTACCTTTCAATAATAGGGTCTTATTTTTAATAATAATTAATATTTTACGAAAGTAAATTTACATTTGTAATTTTTCCAACAAATACATAACTTCAGAATTAACTTAAAAAACCATAAGATTATAAAAATGGAAACATAAATATTTAATTGGAAAGATACAATAAATCGTTTTTCACTACGTTTTAGGTATACTCAGCTATGTTATCACCGTTATCAGTTATGCGAATATTTGATACATCCACTATGATAGATAACAATAATAATATAATATAAATATCTCTAATTATAATAATAACCAAAGGTGGACATCAACTACCTAGTTAAAAAGTTTATTTTTTTTTAACTTAACTTTTCGCAGTTGATTTAAAAATGATCTATCAAGTTAAAAATGTTTAAAAATGTTTCGTTTATACTAGGGTTACTATAAATTATAAGGTGAAAGCGGGACAACACAAACACAATATCGAGTAAAATACCGTCAATTGGGGTAACATTGGTCTTTTGCAGACAATGTTGGCCCATATCTTAGAAAGTGATTCATAACGTTATAACAGATAAACCCATGGACATATAAAAGATTTTATAAATAAATAAATATAATAAATTAATAGATGCTCATTCGCATGACATTTTGAATTTTATTCTTAAAAGTGGTCTTATTACTTAATATACATACTATATGGATTGTAATTATTAAAATAGTCATGCATTTAAAACAAAAAAAAAAAAGTGGATTTCAAAATGCTTATCCCAACATATCAGTGCAACACAATAGCGCACTTTCTAGCTTTTTACCTGAAAAAAACACAACACCATTACGCACTTTTTACTTTTTTATATATTATATAGCAAACAACAACACGATTGCGCACAAAATGATATGTGTATATATAACTATGTATATTGTATAATAATTTATGTACAACCTAAAATAATGTAATATTTTATATGTATTATATAATAATTATTATATATTAATTCACAATTTTCCTTCCCAATTATTACAGGCTTAGGACTGTCAACAATTGTTTTTTTTTCTAAATTACATAATTTTTTATGATAATTAATTTTAAGATAATATATGTAATGTAATTTAGAAGAAAAAAAACAATTTTTAACCAATTAATAATTATACATGCATACATTATTTTATGTTTTACATAAATTATTATACAATATACATAGTTATATATACACATATAATTTTGTGTGCAATCGTGTTGTTGTTTGCTATATAATATATAAAAAGGTAAAAAGTGCGCAATGGTGTTGTGTTTTTTCAGGTAAAAAGGTAGAAAGTGCGCAATCGTGTTACGCTCCAACATATATATAGCTTATCAAATTTTTCTTACTTAAGCCATAACACCGGAATCTTATGAACACAATTTCAGTATACAGAAACTAATTAAATCATATTTTCCATAAGATAGGTAATATTAAATGATCTCTTAGTCGCATCCATTGAGATATGAGAAACGAGTTTGCTTCAAAAAAAGCATGACAATTATTAGTTTATATTATTTGTAATATACGCTATGAATTGTCTTGTATGAATGTCTTTATACAGTGTGAATATTAATTTAACTTATTAAATCTTCAAATTGCTAAATTGCCTACAATAATCCACATATTAACTTATTTAGGACGAATTACTTATTAGTAGCTTTTAGGGGCGCTAATATTAAGTTGTACCCTGGGTAACATAATTTGCAGATGCTACACTCAGGCGCGTACTGGGTCCATTTTCCCTACCGGGAAACTGGATATAATTAAGGCCCACTTATTTAAATACCAATAGAAATGAATCTCATATATACCTATCTATAACAATAGCCAGGTTGTCTACCCATTTCTTACACAAAGCTATAAAATAACCATAAACCTAAATAATAAACCAAATTAACACTTTGATTTAAGTTCCTTAAAAATAAATATGTACACAACAATATTAAAATCATTATTTTTATTTAAGTGGTATTGAATAAATTATAAATTAAATATTAAAAAAAAAAAATTAAAACGTTGTTTTACTATATAATATGAATAGTATGTTCTTAAAAATAGTTCAATACAAATAAAATAATAAATAAATAGTTTAGTAAAATGTTCAAAAACCAAACTTTCAACATTCTTAACGTTTCTAAGACTATTCCATATAAATCAGTTTATTTATTTTATTTAACCGTACGTATTTACCAATAATTAATAAGTGATTGAACTGTTACTTTGTTGCCAGTGGCGTAACTACGGGATGGCAAGGCACGGCAATGCCCCGGGGCCCTGGACTTGGATGACCCCGGAAGGGCCCTCGACTCCCGTAAATACAATTTGTATTATTCAAAAATTATATACAAACATTTGAATTTTATTTTAAAATTGACGAAACAGGTACTATTATGGAAACAGAAAAAAGCACAACTAACAGCCAAAATATACCTATCATATTATATTAATTGAAAACATATTTCATATGTATAATTTTGACTGAAATTCTGTCTCAACTTAATTTGGTATCAAAATTCCTGCTGTCAAAAAACGTGGATCTTTTAAAGGCTACAGACAATTTAAAAAATGCTAAAAATAATTTAAAAATATTTAAAAATGAATATGAAAACGCAAAAGCTAATGCTCTAAATATTGCTAGTAAGTGGAATGTCAACCCAGAATTTTCTAATAAAAGGAGAAAAATGACAAAAAACTATTTTGACGAATTTGCTCGAGATTTTAGGTTTGAAAATAATGAACATTCATTCAAAGTTAACGTGTTCTATAAAGTTTTGGATGTCGTTTATTGTCAGCTTCATAACAGTTTTGTAGGAATGAATAAAGAGTGTAATTTATTTAATTTTTTGAACCCTAGTGTATTAATTTCTCTTCTAGAAAAAGATATCATGGAATCTACACAGAAGTTACAATTAAAATTTAGTAACGATTTATTTGCTGAACTCTCCCTACAATTAGTTATGCTAGTTTTAATGACTACTATAAAAGAAGAGTTAGCCAAGTTAAACTCAATAAAATAATTTTTAAAGTTCTTAATAAAATAACCATTACTAACTTCAAGTGTTCCAGAAGTAGCAACTGCTTTAATATTATTTTTAACATTGCCAGTAACATCAGCCAGGGGCAGGTTGGCCTATCGGGAAATCGGGAATCTTCCCGATGGGCCGATCCTTGTTTGGGCCGCTTTATATTATTATATAATTACAAAAAAAAAGTTTTATTTTATAAAATAAATAAAAATCATTAAAAAAATAAATATATATTTAAAGATGCATTAAGATCAAAATTCAAGTTCAAGTTGGAACTGATTAATCATGTGACTTACCCAAAACTATTATAGCTATAATTATTGTAAAGTTATTGTAAATTTTACTAATTTAGGGGTGAAACTAAACAAATTTTGAAATTTTTTTTTATGGAGGGAGGGGTAAAATAGTTTAATTTACGGTTCATTGGCTGGTTTGTTTCATATTTCCTGGGCCGAAAATAATTGCCAATCCACCCCTGACATCAGCCAATGTCAAACGATCATTCTCAAAGTTAAAATTAATAAAAGTTACTTAAGAAGCACCCATAAAGAAGAACGCTTCCGCGATTTAGCAGTCTTAGCCATAGAAGCCAACGAAGCAGAACAAATGGACATTAAAGAACTGATAAAAACATTTTCTGAGATGAAAGCTAGAAAAAAAAATGTTGAATAGCTACTTTGTAATTTTGACAGTTTTGTACATATGACGTAAATAAACTTTATTTATAATAAGTTATGACTTTTATTCTTTTTTTTTTTTTAATTTTGTAATATAAATGTATGGGGTCCAACGCTTGATACTGCCCCGGGGACCCAAATTTATAGTTACGCCACTGTTTGTTGCTATTCTCAGTATTCACTAACATGATTTAAGATACACTTATACTATATAGCCGTGGCCACTATTCAGTGGTTACTGGTTGGCTTTATTATTATTTTTCTAAGTTTATATATTGTTATTTTTGGAACGTTCCAGCCAAAGATTGACGTTTTATGTCCATGTATTCACATAATTATTGTCTATATTATTATTATATGGGTATAATTTTAGCTATTAGGTATACGTATATTAAATTCCGGGCGTAAGCATTGGGCAGCGGGTATCGCCCAGTTAAATCATACATATATACCTATGTGTACCTACAATGCCGCAACTAGGATTCTTGGGGCCCTGGATACAATTAATTTATGGGGCCCTGAGCGGAAAATCCAGCGATTTTTTTATTTTCATTTTCTTTTTCTATTTTTCGTTTCCTTTTAGCAGCTCCGTTTAAATACTGCCTTAACGTTGACATAATTTTAAAAAACCGGTAAGATTACTATTTACTAATAACCAAGGCTCGGAACTTTAGGCATTTGCATATTTGTCTAGAAAGTGAATATTGAAATTCTGATTCGATACAAATTCGATTCATAGTATGTATATTTCAGATATAAAAATTTTTATTGCATAATTTCGCATATTTTGTTATTTTTTGTACCAATTAATAGAGATGGTTTCAAATTTTAACGTTAATTTTAAAAAACATAAACAATTTTAACGATTTTCTTGTAAATGGTTCACCGAAATTAATTAAATGAACTAAAATTGTTTGTTTTTTGAAATGTTCGTCAAAAAAATGTAAAAAAATTTAAATTTCTTGAATGATAGACCTCATAAACGTTGTTAAGTTATTCGTTCTTGTAAATTAATTGTTTTTAAATAATACGTTCTTGAACATTTAATCAGAAGAACTTTTTACAGGAATATGTTCTCGAAAGTTTGAAAATGAATACAATTTTGAAGATGAACAAGTTCACATAGATGAAGAAAACAGTAACAATGTTTCTGAATGTTCTGATGTAGATAATAATAAAATAAATGAACAATAAAATGAAAATAATTAAGAGACATTGCCTTCAATCTTCAACGATTTGGGTGCAGCAGTTAATACATCGTAGGTATTGAGGAGTGCTGCTCATACTTTACAACTATCGATTCTAGATGTATTTAAATAGAAAGTATATCAACTATAAACAAATCACGGAGATTGGTGAAGATGTTCATATAACCAAAAAATTTGGAAGCTCTCAATATGACTATAATATATTATTACTCATAATAACTTATTACTTATTGTTTACACGGACTATTACCAAAGAACCCAATA